AAAAACTAGTGCTGGGCAACGATACTTTTTTAAAATCACGATTAATCGCATGATTTTCTGCGATTAACCGCATTATGCGCAAAATTCAATAATTAATTCAAAAGTATTGTATTGCACACTTTTATTTTAAAAGTATTGCTATATGAACAAAAGTACAACAACAAGTTACACTCAGAGTCCAGAGCCTCGATTATAACAGGCACCTTCCGAGTAGAGACCTGCACTCCTGCGAGACTACCACGGGACCCAATGCAACAGAGTGCGGCGCAGGACAACACTTGATGGGCGAGTGCAGGTGCGGGCAGGTAGAGACTCGTGTGTGTGCGGGATGCAGGAGAATAAAATGATTCGCGGGACTCCCGCAAAATAGAAATATATAAATATAAGATCTCTAAAAAAGTATAAATTGTTATTCATCTATTGCACAAACGCAACAAGAACAACTAATATAACATAAAAATGATTAACATGTTTCTATTTATACCACGTTTGCAGCATTGAGCAATGTAGACAATCACAGATATCTGTTGATTTCAGGAACACAATGGCCAGTCAAAGGTGTTTAAGTTAGAATCCACTCACCGCTCAAAAGTTACTGCGCTTTGCTGAAAATTGCGTGTTCACGAATCCTCTCATTATAACACACAAAGTGTAGACTTTATGGAAGATTCGTTGTGCATATATTCATATATTCATTGTGTTATAACAGAGCTTTATGAGATCGCGATGAACTGAGATGTCAGCTTTTTAGTGATAATAAAGGGAGCGCTGTCATATTCTGCCATGCCAACCCAGGTGAAAAAGAAATATATTTAAATTGTGCTTTTTCAGACATACTTACTATATTTAAATTATACTATACTAAGTGCATATTAAATGTCAAGACAAAGTAATTGTATGTTCATAATCATGGTTTTTCAAAGATCATTAACCTCATTACAATGAAGCCAAATTGTTCAGGAAATCAGAAATAAATAAATGCACAACTTCATTTTGCAAATAAAAGAATGTTAATGTTGTACATGTTATAATGACTAATTTTATTTTATTTATTTTTTTCTGCCAATGCATGTGTCAAAAACACGACTGGCACAGACAAATAACGTTAATTAAATCTTACCTGAAGTCACAGTGAGGTTCCAAAAGCCAGACGCCATACACGCTTGCAGAAGCTGGTAAAAATAAGAACATACCGCTATATTTTCTAATTAATTTCATAGTTCCCCCAAAACAATTTGAATTCTGTCATCACTCACCCTTAAGATGCTCCAAACCATCTAAGACTTTCGTTCATCTTCAAAAGAAAAGCTGAGATATTTTAATAAAAATCTGAGAGATTTATGTCCCTCCGATGAAAGAAGATTCACCAAAGATGTTCATGTTTCAAAAAGTTGAAATCTCAAAAAAACATCGGCAAAGTAATCCATATGAATTGCGTGGTTTCCTCCAAGTGCCCTAAAGAGACACGATCGGTGACCGCTCTATATAATACTGTTTAAATTTAGACTTATATTCACATTTAAGAGACATTTGCACGCACATCATATTTTATATACGAAGCTCTCTGGGGTGAGCTCATTATCATACGAACCAATCAGAGCCGTTCAATGGCTCTGGAACCAATCAGGTTTAGTCAGTGGGTTGTTTGAATTTAAACAAGTAAACGCAAGTTTTTTTTTTTTTCATATATGATGTTGAAATCCTTGTGGGAATTTCAGAAATATATATTAGAAAATAAAGGCGTCAAGCTTGAACAAATTTATAAACACCTAGCTTATTACAATTAATGTATCATGTAATGAACAACAGCCTAATCAACCAAAGTAGCATAACCTTTTAAGTAAAACTGAACAACATATTAAACAACATATTTTAAATATCGCAATGCTTAATAATAGTTGACAAACGTTTGTACATTGTAAATGTTAAAAATGTTTTTCAAAATATTGTACTTTTCCAAATATTAAAATTATAAATACATAAATATTTAAAATATAACCATGTGTAGGCCTACTGCAATATAAAGTACATTAAAAACCCACTAAAAGTGTAATCATTTTGTTATGTTCTTACACAAAGTAGACATAAAATATACTTTAAGTAAGGGTAACGTAAGTATGTTTTCTGTAAATACACTAAAAAGTCACTAAAAGTATGCTTGTGTTTAGTATATCCCTTAAAAGTGTAACTAAAAATATATTTATTACCATAGTATTTCTACTATACTTTTTAGAAATATACTAATAGTGTGCTTGTGTTTAGCATATTCCTTAAAAGTGTAACTAAAAATATATTTATTGCCAAAGTATTTCTAGTATACTTTTTTATAAATACATTAAAAGTATGCTTCTGTTTAGCATATTTCTTAGAAGTATAACTAAGCATATATTTAATACAAAAGTATTTCTAGTATACTTTTTAGAAATATATTAAAATGCAATTCAATATATTTTTATTGCACTTCAAATAAGCATGTTGGGAATACAAATGTATTATAAACATACTACTTGAATTTCAAGTATATTTTTAATACATTTAATGCTACGTCTTTTTCACCTGGGAAACCATGCAAGCAGCAGTCCATGCCTGCTTTTCTGTTAAAAATAACAGTGAACAGTGGTTTGTGAATTAATTAATTTTATCGGGAGCGTTCATGTGAGCGCTGCAGCAGTCTTAGGCCCACCCCAAATGCTCTCATTGGTTGAGACGCATGATGACGTCTATCCCAAACCAGTACTGATCAACTTCCCACCTCTCTTGTGACCCATGGTTTGTCTGTATGTGTATTCAGAGCCAGTGAGCAACGGACTTTCAAAATAATACTATATATGAATAATTTCAAAAAACTGCGTTAATGGACGATAAAATAATTGTCGGCGTTAATTAATTAATGCATTAGCGCGATAATAACACGTTAGCTTGCCCAGCCCTAATAAAAGCATATGTCAGTTGCTTCAGATATGTTGGAAAAGTATTCTCATAGCTTCACAAAATTACCACTGTTGAACCACTGATGTCACATGGACTATTTTAATGATGTCCTTGCTACCTTTCTGGGCCTTGAACATGTCAGTTGCATTGCTGTCTATGCAGACATGGCAGCGGCGGCAACAATATTACAGCGAGAATAAAAGTTACTCCTTCTTTCTTTGTGTGAACATTTGGGCGGTGTTATGCAAATCTTCCCACATAGTGACGTAGGTATGTGGGGGTGTGTTAGAACGAGCCGTTTTAGGTAGGTGTGGCTGACTCTTAACTTTTATAAAGAATATCTCTTTGGATTTGAGACTTTAGTCTTTGCAACTTTACAGATCTTCTTTATGCACCAAGAGCTTGTAACACTCCTAAGAGAAAGGAAAAATTGAAATCGCATCATATGACCCCTTTAAAATAAAGTGTGACAATATAATATAATATAATATATACATTTTTATTTTATTTTACCCTCTAACACTAGTGTTCTCTGTTCTTTTTCTATTCTATTTACTACATAATATATAACCTATGTTTGATTACTACTATTGTCCTCGTTTGGAAGCGTCTGCAGCTAAATGACTAAATGTAAATGTACAAAATTTTGTAAATGTACAAAAACATGTCTGTTATGCTGCTTAATAATTGCAAACTGGTATTTGTTATCATATTATTTTAATGTGTTATCTTAATCATAAACACACTGATTTGTAGCACAAATAGTTTTACCGTTTACTGCACTTTGTCGTTCCACTAGTTATTTAAGCGGCTAATGAATCAAAATGCTCACACAAAAGAAGCTTATTTCCTTGTTGCTAAATAAAGTGGATATATTAAGTCATATAAACCGAGGACACAATAGGTCAACATTCATAGGCATAGAATTACTGTATGAAATGCTCAAGTTTGTGCGTTCTCAGATTTAAACACAAGTAGCCTATAAAATGATTCATAGGCCTGTTCTGAAGTGTTTACTGCATCATACATGCAGTATTGCAAAGCAGTGTTTTGCTCTCATTCTTACTGACTTGCTAAAGTGGAGTGAAATGACAAGTTACTGTGGAGGTGAGCATACTGAGGCTGTAATACTTAATGGCTTGTCAGATTATTAGCTTGCCAGCTATTGTAATATCCTGCTGTCTCTCCTCATGAGCTGCAATGGCAGCACATCCTGTCAAGCGTCTTTCTCCAGAGCCACAGAAGTGTACTGTGAGCTTCCTGTCACAAAGTCGGAGCTTTCCATTCTGTATTTTATCACTGTGCTTGTCAATGTTTCAATGAAAAGTGAAATTTTTTCTTACTTAAAACATTTACTAGGAATATCAGAATAATGTGTTTTTGGACATCTGCTGTGGTAATTAGATGAATATATTCTGGTATATGATTATGTGAGTAAAGTTACCACAGTATTACCATTACTGCACTGTTTTGTAAGGGAAGGCTGAATGATTTAGTGGTGTATTAATATGTAGCCGACTGTATCGCGGTTCCTAATGACTGTTTGTTCTCTAACCAGACAGCTTTGCAAATAATGCATTAAGCTAGTGCGCCACAGTTTCATTTACATCCTCCTGAAAAATCGATCTCTGGGCTAATGCTGCCTGGGTCATTAAAGGGATGGAGCTCATAAACGCCCTCTGGATATGAGTTATAAAAATCTACTTTCAATACTGATCATGAGTTACAGTCCCCATGACAGTTTTCCTCAGATGTCCTTTGAATTTCTTGCAGTTAACTGTGTTGCGTCCGTTTATCAAATGCCATGCGAAAGTGTTCAGACTGATCAATGCACTTTTTCTCCTCAATTACTAAGACTGTATTGATTTTTTTTCCCTGTGCTGTTTTCATATCTAAGCACTCAACTGCAAAATTAATTTTAATGTGGCATTTGAAAGCCAAACAATGCAAAATATAAAGCTGAAATAATTAACATTAAATTTAAAAAACTGAGGTGAAATATCCTTTGATAGAAACATAAAAGAGTTTTTGAAGAGTTTGAGTAACTCCTGTGTTATTTGTCTTTGTAGTTTGACATGCAGCGGATAACACTGGAGGAGCTGAAACACATCCTTTTTCATGCCTTCCGGGACCACCTGACGATGAAGGACATTGAGAACATCATCATCAATGAGGAGGAGAGCTTGAACGAGAACTCGGGGAACTGTCAAACAGAGTTTGAGGGAGGTGAGTGTAAACATTGCTGCATTGTGTGTGTGTGTGTGTCAGTGGAGTTTTTCCTTGGTGTTTGTGAAAACTTACATGTACAGAAGACAACATTGTCAAAACGCATAAAAAGTTTTCCATTTTTAGTTTAAAAAGGTGTTGTATAAATAACCCTTTAGAGTGGGCTAGTTGTGATGTCACTGTATAGGGAAGGCTAAGCTCATGAATATTAATTAGCCCTAGATAATCACCTTGACTGTCCAGTCACGCAACATGAATTCTAATACATCAAGTCCTTAAGAAAGTCAGTACAAAATGCATTATGATATCAAGATAATTTCAAATAAATGGATTAACAAATGAGGTATTCTCCTACAATATTCATGATTTTAGTAAATGTTTATGATAATCAACATGACATGAGTTTTTTTCTCGTAAAAAATGCAGATGGTGGCCCGTGTGAAAATAAAGTACACTTTTAAAAAGAGTAGCCAACTTATTAGAGCAAACACTTAATTGCATGTTAATTGCAGTTCAATTAAAATGTATTAGAGTTTAAAATGAGGGAGTGCTTTTTTTGGCTCATATAAGTACACTGTAAAAATGATATTATCAGTAAGCAATGGCAACTTATGTTTTTACATTACTGTATCTCATCAAAATAAGTTGAGCAGTTTTAACTTTGTTTGAGTTATATGAAATTCAGCTTGATTTTTTAAAAGTCGGTTTAATATAATTTTAGTTGAAATGACTTGTGCAACCAATTTAATTATACTTAAAAATTTAAAACAGAAACTGAATCTAATTTTTTTAATTCTGAAATACTGTAGGTGGAAATATTTCACAGTGTATGACTTAATCTTTGTGTTTAATATCTTAATTACTTCTATTGGTTAAAGTGCACTACTGAATGTAATGACAAGCATTTATGGTCATTTCTACTGTACTGGAACTGGTTTTTCATGTATTTTAAATATATTTGTAATTACGTTTGTAATAATGAATTTGCAATTTAATGCATTTAAAATCAAGTGAGGTATTCTACAATATTTATGATTTTAGTCATTATTTATGACAAACATGCGAGTAAACAAATAAACATGACAGACGTAAGAACTGTATGTAATGAAAAATAAGTATATTAAATAGAAAAGCACATGAGATACAACATGCATCAAGTAACTCATTTCAACTTTTTTTCCTCTTTTGAATTAAAAGCTAAAAGTAATTCTGATCAGCCAAACCCTTCAAACTCAAATGTAGGCATCTAACTTTAAAAGCAGTGTTTGTAATGATGTGTAGGTGCTTCTCTAGAGTTCATTGTAGGCTTCTCTGCTTCGGTCTGTTTGTTTTACCAAACTAATATGGGCTGATGTTGATGTTGTTGTTTCATGCATGATAATACTGCTGTTACTGCACCCCTATAGGCTCATCTCAACACAACATTCCTCATGGTAATACACAGGAGGGTTAATGCTCTTTTACAGTAGGCTATGTGATATTCACAGCCTATTGACGTCAGGTGCAATTTTTAGAGGCTTATTTGGTTATTAAAATGAGAGGAGTGAATTAAAGATGCTAGTTTGGTTTTTGAGTGGGCAGCTCATCTCCAGATACACGAGTGGGTGTTGTCACGCCATCTACAGGGTCACCAGCTCAATGTAGCATATGCTGCACTACATTATGAGATCCCCTGAAACAAACTCATAAACATCTTATGAAACCGAGTCTTGAAATTATGATGCAAATACATTATATTCAGCCTATTTGACACTTTGAGTACCACAGAATTTTTTTTTCCACTTAAAAGATTTTAAACCTAATAAATGAATAGTACTTTTAACAACTGTATTTATACAGTAGGGGGCGCTATTACACATATGTGACCCTGGACCACAAAACCAGTCATAAGGCTCATTTTTTTAAGGGTCAGATTTATACATCATCTGAAAGCTGAATAAATAAGCTTTCCATTGATGTATGGTTTATTAGGATAGGACAATATTTGGCCGAGATACAACTATTTGAAAATCTGGAATCTGAGGGTGCAATAAAATCAAAATACGGAGAAAATCGCCTTTAAAGTTGACCAAATGAAGTTCTTAGCAATGCATATTACTGTTTAAAAAATAAAGTTTTGATATATTTATGGGAAGGAAATTTACAAAATATCTTCATGGAACATGATCTTTACTTAATATCTTAATGATCTTTGGCATAAAAGAAAAATTTATAATTTTGACCCTATTGGCTATTGTTACAAATATACCCATGCAACTTAAGACTGTTTTTTTGGTACAGGGTCACATATTCGGTTTGCTTCTTGAACTTAACAGATTTGGAGAAATTTAGCATTACATCACTCCTCACCAATGGATACTCTGCAGTGAATGGGTGCCGTCAAAATAAGAGTCCAAACATCTGATAAATGCATCACAATAATGTAATCCACACCACTACAGTCCACCAGTTAATGTCTTGTGAAGTAAAAAAACAAATTCATCATTAAGCCGTTTTTAACTTCAAACCATTGCCTCTCGCTTAAATATTCTTCTGTGAAAAAGTCATTTCGTCTGAATCAGGAGAGAAATATGCACAGACCAAGCACTGTTTATAAGTGAAAACAGTGCAAAACAGCAAACAAGTTCTTATCAAGTAGTTCTGTTACCAGATGATAAATAAACCAATGGATATCAAGATAATTTCAAATAAATGGATTAACAAATGAGGTATTCTCCTACAATATTCATGATTTTAGTTAATGTTTATGATAATCAACATGACATGAGTTTTTTTCTTGTAAAAAATGCAGATGGTGGCACTTTTAAAAAGAGTAGCCAACTTATTAGAGCAAACACTTAATTGCATGTTAATTGCAGTTCAATTAAAATGTATTAGAGTTTAAAATGAGGGAGTGCTTTTTTTGGCTCATATAAGTACACTGTAAAAATGATATTATCAGTAAGCAATGGCAACTTATGTTTTTACATTACTGTATCTCATCAAAATAAGTTGAGCAGTTTTAACTTTGTTTGAGTTATATGAAATTCAGCTTGATTTTTTAAAAGTCGGTTTAATATAATTTTAGTTGAAATGACTTGTGCAACCAATTTAATTATACTTAAAAATTTAAAACAGAAACTGAATCTAATTTTTTTAATTCTGAAATACTGTAGGTGGAAATATTTCACAGTGTATGACTTAATCTTTGTGTTTAATATCTTAATTACTTCTATTGGTTAAAGTTCACTACTGAATGTAATGACAAGCATTTATGGTCATTTCTACTGTACTGGAACTGGTTTTTCATGTATTTTAAATATATTTGTAATTACGTTTGTAATAATGAATTTGCAATTTAATGCATTTAAAATCAAGTGAGGTATTCTACAATATTTATGATTTTAGTCATTATTTATGACAAACATGCGAGTAAACAAATAAACATGACAGACGTAAGAACTGTATGTAATGAAAAATAAGTATATTAAATAGAAAAGCACATGAGATACAACATGCATCAAGTAACTCATTTCAACTTTTTTTCCTCTTTTGAATTAAAAGCTAAAAGTAATTCTGATCAGCCAAACCCTTCAAACTCAAATGTAGGCATCTAACTTTAAAAGCAGTGTTTGTAATGATGTGTAGGTGCTTCTCTAGAGTTCATTGTAGGCTTCTCTGCTTCGGTCTGTTTGTTTTACCAAACTAATATGGGCTGATGTTGATGTTGTTGTTTCATGCATGATAATACTGCTGTTACTGCACCCCTATAGGCTCATCTCAACACAACATTCCTCATGGTAATACACAGGAGGGTTAATGCTCTTTTACAGTAGGCTATGTGATATTCACAGCCTATTGACGTCAGGTGCAATTTTTAGAGGCTTATTTGGTTATTAAAATGAGAGGAGTGAATTAAAGATGCTAGTTTGGTTTTTGAGTGGGCAGCTCATCTCCAGATACACGAGTGGGTGTTGTCACGCCATCTACAGGGTCACCAGCTCAATGTAGCATATGCTGCACTACATTATGAGATCCCCTGAAACAAACTCATAAACATCTTATGAAACCGAGTCTTGAAATTATGATGCAAATACATTATATTCAGCCTATTTGACACTTTGAGTACCACAGAATTTTTTTTTCCACTTAAAAGATTTTAAACCTAATAAATGAATAGTACTTTTAACAACTGTATTTATACAGTAGGGGGCGCTATTACACATATGTGACCCTGGACCACAAAACCAGTCATAAGGCTCATTTTTTTAAGGGTCAGATTTATACATCATCTGAAAGCTGAATAAATAAGCTTTCCATTGATGTATGGTTTATTAGGATAGGACAATATTTGGCCGAGATACAACTATTTGAAAATCTGGAATCTGAGGGTGCAATAAAATCAAAATACGGAGAAAATCGCCTTTAAAGTTGACCAAATGAAGTTCTTAGCAATGCATATTACTGTTTAAAAAATAAAGTTTTGATATATTTATGGGAAGGAAATTTACAAAATATCTTCATGGAACATGATCTTTACTTAGTATCTTAATGATCTTTGGCATAAAAGAAAAATTTATAATTTTGACCCTATTGGCTATTGTTACAAATATACCCATGCAACTTAAGACTGTTTTTTTGGTACAGGGTCACATATTCGGTTTGCTTCTTGAACTTAACAGATTTGGAGAAATTTAGCATTACATCACTCCTCACCAATGGATACTCTGCAGTGAATGGGTGCCGTCAAAATAAGAGTCCAAACATCTGATAAATGCATCACAATAATGTAATCCACACCACTACAGTCCACCAGTTAATGTCTTGTGAAGTAAAAAAACAAATTCATCATTAAGCCGTTTTTAACTTCAAACCATTGCCTCTCGCTTAAATATTCTTCTGTGAAAAAGTCATTTCGTCTGAATCAGGAGAGAAATATGCACAGACCAAGCACTGTTTATAAGTGAAAACAGTGCAAAACAGCAAACAAGTTCTTATCAAGTAGTTCTGTTACCAGATGA